GTGTAAAATATCTACGCGTTCGTGAGAGCTGAATCCTTGCGTTTTTTTCTGTTTTTGATTCCCTCAAGCACTGATATTCCGGTACGCAAGTATTCCAGTGTTCTGATTCAGTGGAATTCTTTGCTTTTTATTCACAAGCTCAGATTTACTTTTGTTTGTAGCGCTGTGTTGTCCTCTTCACTGTTTTCTCCAGTCCTCGCCTCCGAGCATCCTCGTTCTCCTTCTCTACGCTGTTTCCGAAACAACACCTAGTCCTCCCCGGGCTCATAACCGTACTCCTCAACCAAATTCTTCTCCCCCGCCCAAGTCTCCGCAATCCAGACCAGCATCACACATTTGGCTTCTTCCCCATCCATTACCTGCCAAATCTACGTCACCTGGCCACTAAACCCACAAATGAGTGCTTCTTGGCGGCCGAGTTGGGTTTAGTACTTGTAAGTCACAGCTTCTCCGTTGCCTCGATCTTTTGTGGCTGAAATCCCTCCTCACCAGTCCACCAACAATCCCCAACTATCCAGATCCATGCCATTCAATGCACGGGTAACGTCTCCCACCACCAGTAGCACTTCTCGCAACTAGAACACCAACCGGAGCTAAGCCGAGCCGAATTTGGTAGTTGCCTGACTATCGCAATGCGTGCCCTAGCCGATTGTGTTGTTGATATGGTAGGGCATTTTGCGATATGGTGCTCTCCCGATGCTAAGCTGGCCTCTGTGCGCCAGTTCTTGTGCGTCAGGTCGGGCACTGTTATGAATTGTGCACTGATTCGTTGTGCTGAGGCCACTGTGTGTGTGTGTCTCTGGATGCTGTATTTGCCGCTAAAGAGGAGAAGTTTGCGATCCGTGGGACGGTGCATGGGAGCTGTCAGCAAGCCGGAGCACATCTTCCAGCGAGGGGCTGCGTGCATGCCGAGGAAAGGTTGGGCCTCACAGATTGCAGGAGGGGGAGGGAGGGGGGTGGAGAAGAGCAGCAGGGCTGATCGGATTAATGACGAGTCTCCAAAAAGCTAGATGCATACACCTGAAATGTTTGGATACCATGCTGCTCAGAGCTGCACCTGGCAGGGCCATCAGTGCGATTGTGCATTTTTGCGTAGTTCTGACCAGCGGCCGCGTTCGCTGTTCACTAATGCACA